GCTTTTGTGGAGGGCTTGTCCTTGGAATGGTTCAGGTTGCTGGATCGATGTCGTGGTCTGCAACTTGCTCCAAAAAATCGGCGAATACAAGCCGGAACCAGGTTCGGGATGGCCCGCAAGCTGGGTGGTCGGCACCTGCCGCTTAAAAGTTGCAAAGGGGCGTGGGGGTGGGGAGGTGAAGGGGTCGCAGGTTTGTCGGAACGGACGTGTGAATGCAAGCGATGCCCCCTCGCTTGCAAACTGGCCAACGCGTTGCAGCTTAGTTCTGCAACTAAACCATGGATCTTGAAGTGATGCAAACAAGCCACGTTCAAAATATTATATGGGTGTGTCCTTGATTGGGGGGACCCCTCCTATAGTGCTGGTGTTGCTTCTGGTTTCCCAACCCTAGAAAGGGTACCATCAAGCAAAGACACGCACACCTTGTGCCACCTGGAGATGGCAAAATCCTGCCATACGCCCGGGGGGGGGGTGGGCACAAACGCATAGAACTCTTGGGGTGTAGGGTATCGCTTTGCTTCCTCAGCATCACCAGCTCCCCCAAGTAGCGTGGAGCCTTTCCAAAGGAATCACCCCCATCCATCACTTGTGGGGGATCCAAAAAACAGAGGGAGCTGCAAACAAGACTACCCGCATCCCGGGCCTAGGAAACAAAACGAGCCAAACAAAGGCAAGCCAACGGGCCCGACTCAGGTCTTGCAGGGACCTAAAACCAGAGGAAAGAACTCAAACAAACGAAAAAGCATGCAGAGGCGCTCGATTGCATCACTACACCCCAATCCATCACTTCCTTGTGGGGACCTGCCATGACCTGCCCCAAATCAGAGGAAGTTGTAACCAACAACACGCATTTGCAAGGGAGCGGAGCCACCAAAGGCCCCTAATCAAGCCCCGTGAAAGTGAGCAAAAACGAACGAACAGGAAGCATCCGAACAGAGATTGCATCAGTAGCACCCCTGTCTATCACACACCACAGAAAGCTTGACGATTTCCACTGCTACACGCGCTGCACGTGTGAAACGCGTGTCCAAAAGCGACTCGCCCCCACACCCATCACTGCTCACTGCTATTGAAACGAGACATAAACCAACGTTCCAACAAAAGGCCCCTTCCCAAACCAAGTTTCTCCTGTGCACATGTATCTGCAATACAAATATAAGAAAGCATGCCTGTGATGTCGGCGGTCTGAGGAGGAGGCATGAAAGTAACATCAAGAAAGCCAGAAACATCGCCAGAACCTAAACTGGTACACCAAAATGCCTAAAGAGCCACAAGCCACTTCCCCAAAATCTATCTCTCTTGCAAATGGTGCCAGCTACTGGATGGATGGGACTGCGAATTCCTACTCCTCCCTAGCCTCACCACCAGGAAGAGCAGGGACAGCAGAAGGTACACTGTAGCCAGCGCCCAGAAGAGGTTTGGCAAGGAGTGCAGACAAAAGCCGCAAAGCACCTGGGATGACAAAATCTGAAGCAGTGTGTTTGGGCATGTGGAAAAGTGTGCGATGTGTTCTCCGTGCACTGGGCGAAGTTTCCTAGGACTTCGGACGCACATATCACGTTGAACCTGTGGGGAATCCTGTGACATTCATGTCATCAGTTTGAAGTCGCCCAGTTCTATATTCTGTTGCCAAGAGACAAGGCGCCACAATAAACACGACTTTTTCGTGAATCTCGACATATCTCGGTGTCGTTCTCACGAAAATGCTGACCCAACGGGAGACGCCCAGAACCGCATGCAACAAGTGCCAAAGAGCCGTCAAAGTCACCTGAAACAGTGAGGTGCTTGCCGCCCAAGTTTGGTGCTCCAGAAACCTTCCCATAGATTCTTGACCGCCTGATTTAGGATCGATGGGGAAAGTATGTCCTCGTGGAATCTCAGTTCTTCAAACCAAACCAAGCTGAAAACGACTTTTCCGGGACCCAAACATACCCAAACCCTTTTTTCGCCGAGCCCTGGTGGCAAGAAATCGGGAACCCGTTGGATCGTCTCCACAACGGTCCGGCCAATCGATCTGAGCACAGCAGAGAAGGCGCCACTAAGGAGGAGAAGGCGGAAAAGGGCAGCAGGACGAGGAGGCCTAAGCTCCTGGCGTTCACAAAATTCTAGGGGACGCTTCCGTTTCCATTCTTTCCATCAGAACCCAGGGGAAACAGATCCGGCTTTTGAAAAGAAGCATGGTTGAAAAGAAGGGGGAAACAAACCCTGGAAAAATGGTCATTGCATTGAAGAGTCCTGAAGGAACTTTGACACCGAGGATCCCTCGCAAAAACAACCAAACATAGTAGGTTTACCAACCAGGAAGGGCACGTGTTTTTCTGTGCCGACTCGAAAACACCTCGAGTCAGTCTTGGGATTGACAGTTCACACCATTCCCCTCCCCGTGCCTGGCATGGTAGCCCAAGGACCGCGAAGGCAGCACGCGGTGCATCCCATCGGGCCGGCCAGCCCCGCCGCAAGTGCTGAAGCTGAAAGAAGAGCCCGCAAGGCCCCTTCGAACTGTTTCCACCGAAAAGGAGCTCTTTTCACATCTCCGTCTTTGGGCGGGTAGCAGATTCCTCAACCCCCAGCTTTGTTTTTATTTCAATAGTGTGCAGGACTGCGAATTCCCCTGAACAAGCTGCATGCCAACAAACACTTGTCATTATTCTACTACGGCATCAAATATGTCGAGCTGACTCTTGTGGCAGTAAAGTGAATTTCCGAATAGCACGACAAGCGAAGAGCCGCGTACATCATTCTCTGCAGGGGCTGCTAGCGATTGGAAGCATCTGACTGTAGCTCTGGTATATGTTCTCTGTCGTCATGGTTTGGCTTGCGGCGCGGTGGCAGCAGCAAAGACCCAACACAACAATAAAGCAAGCACAAATGGACAACTAAGCATACCAGCGGCGCGTACCTGCACACATCAATCCTAGCTTGAGAGGTGCATTTAAATGTATGCCTATGGGGGGGCGCTTACGCCCTAGAACCCGTTTCGTCGTGCCTTCCCCAGTGCTTTCAGGCTCCGGAGGCTCAACCTGGGCGACATGGCCCGCAGACATGCGGGCATTTCCCGTTCCTTGAGGGAATTGAGACGTTCCAAGATGAGCCAAACGGTTTACGGAGAGCACGAGGGACACTTCTCGCCAAACAGCCTGGCTCCAGGGCCTGCCTCAAGCCAATGGTTCGACCGGGTGCGTCATGCTCCCAGTAGTCTGACAGACGCTCCGAGTGCCTCTCAAAGGCGAGTCATCCGAGTAAAAAACAAACAGTGTCACAAGCCCACTGCCTACCGCTTGCTCAAGTCTAATACTACAGCTAAGGCATGCACAGCATGCACCTTCGGCTGATTGATGACAGCTTCAATGACTGTTTTCCATTGAGGGCAACTGGCCAACCAAACAAACGGATTCGCCACTTTCAACATGGAGCTTCTCCGTCTGTCACAAAGCATACAGGGCACCCAACTGCAACACGAGCAGGTCCAAGGATTCAATCAACACATGCTAGCTTGAACCAATGCCCAGTTGATGTATGGATATTGAGCCGATCATGTGGCATCTAAGCTCTAGATGTGGATTGGTTGCTTGATGTGCCAGGTATGGCGAGCATCTTTTTCAACAAACTCAGAGACATGTTGATAATCTAAAGAGTGTCCAACAAATCCTCAAACACCTGCATGGAGCACCGCACCCATTGATTTCTGGTTCTAAAAGGGTCACTACTGAAAAGGCTTAGACTTCACTATGAACCCCATTAAAATTTCAGTAGGACGATACCCACCTGCATTAGGACTTCCTCGGCTTGTACTAAGGCCCGCGCCGACTTCACCTCCCTGGCGATGCGGATGCCTTGCCTCAGGTAGACTTAAACCCAGAGACGTCGAGGGGGTTGATCAATATTCCGTTCGGCCCCAAAAGGACCATGGGTCACTTTCCCCATTTAGTGGTGAACGACGTCTTTTTTTGCGGTTTCCCGCATGGTCATCCCATGTAAAGGACCTTTTCAATCCACCCCCATGTAAGAGTCCATCTTGGAGACATAGAATGGGGCGAAGTAAAGCTTCATTCCCCAACCGGCAAGTCTTGTCGACGGTGAAACAGTGTCCACCCGGCTCATTGTGGTAGCACAACAGGAATTCACCAACCTGGAACAAGCGCCGACAAAGGATGAGCTGCCTCTTGGCTATTTAGCCTCTAACCTCGACTGCCAAACACATGCTAGCTCTCGAAAATTTGTGCTTGCGGTTTTTCCGACGTCATGAAAGGCTTCTCACAGTTGTCCATTGGAGTCCATGAATGACCCCAAAGGAAACTCTGTCGCGCCGTTGGCAACCAACACAGTGATTTGTCTCGACACTATAGGTGTATCTGGTGGAGCCCCCTCATTTTCAGCCAAAGCTCATCTACAACAAGCTCTTTCTCACAAGTCTCAAAAAAAATAATGACTGAGGCATGAAATTTCCGGCGGACGCTCCTCCGGTGCCGCGCGGCTTCGAAGACGGCGTTGACATCTGCGTCCCCGGCTTCAGCTCCTGCAGACTGCCCAGAATAGGCGCAAAGTCCTGGCAGTCCGCATCCCGGGCCGAAAGAAAGCTCAACGGGTGGCCCGGTTTTGGTCTCCCAGTTGCTCAATGGAAACGCTCCAAAACTCCCACCGGAAGCTCAGCTTGAGGGCTCTGTTGTTTTTGGACGTCCCAACCACATGCCGGGCATGGTGACCAGCAATTGGTCAGACTGACATCCTCCCCCGTGCTCCCACGACACGGGTCTTGAAAAGGGCCGAGTCCAAAGACGAGACCGGCGAAATGGGGGCTGCTCCCTTTTGGCGTCGCTGAACCAAACAGCCTCGGGCTACCCTCCGAAAAGGCAACGTTCGCAGTGTGAAAAAACAAAGGCGCCCGGGCGCAAGGAGTCGACTGTCACAGCACTTTTGTTTACTCACGGAAAAGCTCCCCTCATGGCAACTGAAAGGTGCACATGGATGGGAACCTGAGAACCCTTCCCAGGTCAAAATATGCAAAGCATTGACAAACTTGATCCCTTTCAGCCCCGAAAACGGGAAAAACGGGAAAAGGGTCCCCAAAAAATTGAGAAACCCGTGTGGGTGCAAGTTTGCAGTAGGGGCCCTTTGCTGGACATCATTCAGTTGGGATCTGTTTTAATGTCCGCCAAAGACTTTTCAAGGAATTCCCCATGAAAAAAATATCCCCAAAAGGGAAAAGGGTCCCAAACAAAGTGGTGCGGTCCCAACAAATCGAGAAACCTATGTTATGGAGCCCCTTAAACCTTGGTTTCTGTTGACCCCTCTGCAAAAAGTTTAACTTCAGCAGTCAAGAAACAGCCTCTCCCCTCGATTCGCGCCTGACGCACCTGCAGAGCCACCTGCAGCTCCAGCTCTTGCGGCTCTCGCCACATGCGGCTCTTGGGCTGCGAACACCTCGGGATGGCCCGGGATGCGGGGCCCCGATGTCACGGGGCGTGTTGCTCCAGGAATCCCTCGTCGCGGGCGCCCAAGCGTCACACTCTCACACCTTTGGAATGGATCTCGGTCCTTCGATGACTCAAACCGCTTCGCCATGCGGAAACTCGGGAGACCATCTCTGGAGACCGAAAGATCACCCTCTGAACATGAAACCCATGCAACACAAATGGCACGCCTTTCTGAGGGTACAACAAAATCAAGCACCAGGCACGCCTTTAAGGATTCGTACCCTGCTCAGGTTGGTTTAAAGGGAAACCAGCATTCGTCGGGGGGTCGCCTTATTTTGGAAGCTGTTTTGCCTTTGAAAGCAGCCTGATTCAACGGTACGTGTATGGTGTTGGCATTGGTTCGCACCGGACCAACCATGAGCGTCTGACAAGAAAAGAAGGCAAACAGGCCTCGTGCGTAGGCTGGTGGCAACATCAAAACCATTCAAGGACCTGTCAAACTACCATGTCTGTTTCGCACACACATTCAATGGATGAGTTTTGTTTCATGCCTGTGCAGGTGAAACTCCTTGCGAACCCCATGTCATATTTCCTGTGGGATGAAGTTCCGCATCTGTGAGGAACAGGTTTGACGTGACGTGCCGCTGACGATCGGCTGTTTTGTGACAGGCACTTTACGAATTTGCGTTCGTGTCGTCAAGTGCTTATGTTCGCACACTGTGATTCAAGCAGTGCTTTGCCTCACAGTGGAAAGCGGCCTTGGTGGCTTCAACCGTAAATGGGGCTGTGTTCAAAAGTTCCTTTAGAGATGCTAGGTTGCAGTGCCAGGCAGGCCTGATGTAAGCACTTCAAGCCCTGAATTGGGAACTTCAAGCTGTACGAAACTCAGAACACAAAAGGTGAGGCATGTGGGTGTAGTGGCAAGCGAGTCACTCCACTCCATTTCCAAAATCCACTGCGTTCATTCAGTCGGCCCACTCACTTCACATGCATAAAGTGCATGTTTTCCCTGAAGCGTCCAATGCATCCCAAGCCGCGCCTAACCGATGACTTGGGCTCTGGCTGCATCAGGGCGATCAACTCGCTGATAGTCACCACCTGAGACGAGAGCCGTTCGTGGAACAAACATCCGGCTGACGTGGAACAAGACAACCCTCGTTTGTGGAGGACTCTCCTTTTAGGGGACCTTTTTTTTGCTTTCCATGCTAAATTGCAAGGGAGCATTGGCTTCTCCCAGCTTTGGAATGGCTTGTATCTGCAAGATGCCAATCGGCAATGGCCACACGTGGCTGCCACTCGCAGAACGGGGGATTACCTGTTTTTGGGCCCAGAAATCAATCAAAAGCCAAAATGCAAGCAATAACTAAAAAATAAGCTCAGGTGATATCCCCAGCAGCATGCTGTGCTCTTTTTAGTGCCGCCCTCGTGGAATCCTAGTGGCCCTGGTGGAACCCTCGTGGAACCCTGGTGGAACCCTCGTGGAACCTTACCTCAGGGCCGCCCCGGACCACCCCGGAGCCTTTCTGGGCTGAGACCCCAAAGCTTTCAGCTGTTGGGGAAAAAACTGTTTTAGGTGGAGAAAACAGGGCGCCCTTTTCTGTCCTTGTCCACCATGTTTCACAGAAACCTGGTTAAGCCTCCAGTCCCAGCTGGGCATCCAGCGCCGGAGCACCTGGCGCTTCTCTCAAGAATCGTGGACCTCGTGTTTGGTCGGGTGGAGAAACCAAAAGGAAAACTTAAAAAAATAGGGGACCAGCGACTTTTTGGAGGGAACCAATTTTTGGGGGGATGGTTGTAAAGGGACACAGGGGAAACCACCAAGGAAAGATGTGGAGAAACCTTTTACAATTTTTTGGTTGGGAGGGCTCCCCTACTAAAATAGACTACCGGAAAAAAAAAAAAAAAAAGTCGGCTACCAACTTATTCTAACCCTCTCTACTGGAGGACCTAGATCAGGTTAATGTTGACCCAGGATCTAAGCTAAGTAGAACCCGTCCTATTAGGGGGTGGGAAACCCCTGCAAAAGTGATGAACATCCCCAGTAAAAGGGGACACCCCCCTATTAATCAACCAGGGGTTTATGAAT